ATATTTTTGAAAATCACAATAAGATTCTTCCAAATTCTCAAACCTTACTTTAAGCAGTGCTTTTTGAGAGTCACTAGTTTTGGCTTTTTGTGCAACCGTGTACGTTTTTGTGATTCGGCTAGCACAGACGTAACGTTTTTTAGTTAATTTTTTGATGAGCGCAGCGTTTGCCGCCTCAGTTTCCGGCATGTTGATCGAAATGCCAAGAAAATAATTGAAAAAATTAAGAAAGTCTTTTTCAAAGCAAAGAATCTATGAAATAGGGTATATACCTAAGAATAAGGTATATACCTGGATTTGCAGGCTGTAATGTAAAACCTGTAAATCGTCGAAAAACGAAAATTATAGAATTAAATATAGCGAAAAATTATTTTGAAATAAGTGATACAATCATTACAATCTCATTATTAGCACCAATGTATCTATTTGTGCTAATAATTATATTAATTATGATTTTTGATTCTAAAAAGGTTCAAATCCGGCTCGAAGGACCAGAAAATGTTGGCGTAATGGTTGATATTTTAGAATCACCTTCGGAGTTACGTGGACTGTAAGCGCAACTAATGAATATGTAGCAAAAAAATAACCATACAAAAGACAATATGATAAAAGGCGCCTTACCTGTGGTTCTGGGGTTCTTCTAGTTCTAAGTTAATTTTTAATACCGGGATCCCGGGTCTTGTTTCGGTTGCACAACACTACCGGCTTTTATTTCGAAACCGGTAACCGGCGAGCTCGCGAATTCATCGACTTTCTTGTGGGCGAAAACGGATTAAAAAATGTGTGTTCGTGTTTCGTGTTTGGCGAAAAGAGAGAGAGTGTGTGTCGCTTGGCTGTACGAATCAAGTGTTTTTCGTACCTTTTTTGTCGACCTCGGTTCCATACCGAGGGCGCTGTTGTTCCCTGCATAGGAGGCGCTATACCTATTTGAATTTGTATGGTTTTTCAATATGAACAAAATTCGTGACTTTGACACTCTTGAAGAGATGCACATACAATCATAAAGGGGATGGGGATGTCACTGCTAAATAATGCACTCACACTTCCAGTTTTATATCTCTCTATTGTTGCCAAAATAATCGTTTAATAAAGTAATACTGTAACCACATTCAAGTACTTTTAATTATTCACAGGTTAGTTAACAAGTCGCATTTGAATTATTCGAGAACATTCACTAATCGGTATAAATTCACTAGTTGCTAAGTGCTCAATAGTCAATTTAACAATAATTGTCAGTATTTTAATTGAGAGCACAAGATAAAGTTTATTTTTAATAGAAATCTTCGGGAGTTGAGAGTTTTTATATTTTTAGAGAGCCCTTAAAAAAAAGGGGAGTGTGATTAACTCAATGTTTTACGCGATATTATATCACTTGAATTTTCAAGCCAGCAGCCAGAGAGATAAAGAAATAAGTCTTTTTATTTAGAGAGCGAGAGAGAGACTGCACAAGGGTGCAACTAGAGAGAATAATTAAATAATTAGAGAAAAGTGAGAAGGTTCAAACTTGTATAGAGCTAGACGTTTTTACGCACTATTTACTGCTAGTGAAACCACACTACTAAAATCACAAATCACACTGCGAAGTGAAAAAGATAAGGAATGCATTTTTTCCCCTAGCGACAACAACCAGACTGGATCGATGCAGTACAGCCTGGTACGGCGGCAAAGTTTTCACGGCGGGGGGCTTTTTTGCAACGTTGCCACTGTGATCATAAAAAATAAATACGATTGTTTGGCTGTTTCCACAACAAGTGCGAACGGACAGCGGAGAGACCTGACTACACAACACGGACTTCATTTTTTACAAATGATGATCTGGCTTGTTCAATCCTGGCACGAACCTCCTGCATATTATTCCAGTCATCATTAGCCTGACATCCTAGTTATCTATATGATTGGACCCGATTGATCTATTGGTTCTGTACCTTGAGAATAGCTCCTCCAACCAGTTCTCACTAGTCACCATCCATTTGTCTTTTTTGATGTTTAAATTTAATCCAAATTCAGTAGCCAAATGATCAAGTAATACTTGAAGACCTTCCAGAGAATCAGGGACTAAAACCGCTTTGGTTTGGTTTTCCTTTTTTACGTGTTTTTTGGTTTCTTATGTTCAATTTTTGTGGATATGTTTGTGAAAAATGAACATATTTGTTTAAAATTAATAATCTAGGTGTGTTTTCTATTTTTATACTATTTTTTTGTTGTATTTTTCTTTATATTGTTCAGTGTTATAATTGCAGTTGAAATGTATAAAACTGTCTCAAAAGAATATTCGCTGTCATATTAAGGTAAATTAAGTAGGGTTCTTGTTTCTAATGTTACAGCCCTGAAGATGGTGTAGAGTACACCGAAACGTCGGCATCGATTTCATCATTAAATTAATGTCCAATAAGCCAAAAACTGTCTTTCATTTAAAACCGTATCGTCGGCATACCGAAGATTGTTAATTTTTTCATGTGGTTTCTTGACTGATTTTCTGAAGATTGTTAATGTTCACGCCGTTGATAGAAATTCCGTCAGTGCAGTCTTCTAATGCTTTTTCAAATATTTTGTTCGAATAAATATTAAAAAGTAATGGTAGAAGGATGCAAATCTGCCGGACACCTCTTTTTATCCGTACTTCGTCAGACATTTGTTGGTCTACCTTGATTCTAGTAGAGATTTGCAATTATCTTGAGTTCTCTATCATCTAGGCCTACATCCTTGAGAATTTTCATAAGCCTCTCATGTTGTACCCTGTCAAACACTTTCTCATAGTCTACGAAGCATGCATGTACAGGAACAGAAATATCTCTAGATCTTTGAGCCCGCATTTTGCATATATTCTTTTATGGATGATCTTTGGAAAAATCTTGACAAAGTGGCTTATCAAGCTAACAAGCCGATAATCGCTATATATTTTTGTAGGGCTTTTCTACGGAAGCGTCACAAATATTAAAATAAGTCAGTCAGAGGGAATAATGCCCGATCGGTAAACCATATTGAAAAGCTTCACCATTGCGTGTATAGTGACTCTTCATTCGTTAGGATTTTAATAAGTTCTGAGTAGACACTGTCTGGACCTACCACTTTCCCGTTTTTGTATAACTGAATGGCGTGTTGGGCTTCTTCCTTAGTAGTTATATCTAGTCCTTCTCGTGAATACTCTTCAGGAATGTCCGATCTCTCGTCTTGAAACCGGATTTTAATGTAGCTGCACCACTGTTTTACTTTGTCGTTGACATCAAGAATTATCTTACCTTGACTGCCCAACAGAATGCCAGTTTGTCGAAGTTTGTATACACCAGCAGCTCCTTCAATTTTCTTAAGCATATTAAAACTGGAATTTATTGCTTCGAGGTCTCCGATTTCCTTACACCGTTCCTTTAGCCAATTTTGTTCAGCTATCCTGACTTTGTTTTTTATTTCACGATTCAACTGAAGATATGCTGGTTGGGTCTTTCTGCAGGCGTCTTTCTTCCATCAAGTCGAGGATTTCATCAGTCATCCAAGCTTTTTTCCTGACTGAGTATCAACTGGATTTTCGCTCAAGTGGATTGTGATCTTTGAAGATTTGATGCAATATCATTCGAATCAGCAAAAGCAGAGCTATCCAATAAGTAACTTATATATGGGGTGTCCTATTAAAAAAAAAAATCGGACCCGATATCTCGAAATCGGGTCAATTAGAAAAACACTGAGGTTATCACTTGTTTCTGATTGAAAAAGTACTTTTAGAAAGTTTTTACGGAAATCAATTATTATCATGAATAAAAAACTAATGAAGCTTTTCCTATTAAAAGTGTTCAAATTGGACCACCCTATACATGCTAGAAATTAAAATATTATTTTTCATGGAGTACCTATATATTGTTTTTATTTTATCAACCAAAGTTAGATTACAATATTTTACCAGTGGATATAATGGGAAAAAAAAAATTGACCTAATTTTTCAGTATCACCCTGTATCGCTACAAGGTCGGTGCAATGAAAGAAAATGCTTATTTCGACTTCTTAAATAATATACTAAAGTTTCAACAAAATCTGTCGGTGTCCGAAATCCATAAGAAGTGTGAGATGTTCTTGACAACGTTTCTTTTTTGCTGGTTAATTTTACAACAATATAGAGCGCAAGTACTTTTCAAATTAATCAAACGAAACAAAAAGAACAAATTAATAAACTATTCTTAACAATAGTAAATAACATATAAACTACCCTTAGTGGAACCGTTCATCTCCAGAGAAGAGACTGATGATCATAGATAATGGAATCTGATATAGAACTCTGTAACTATTGCCGTTATTTTGAAATGAACTTCTAGAACCCGTTGTTGGATCATTAGCTTTAGTTATAGAATACACAGAAGAAGTTGTAGAACAAATTCCTTTTATAGATCATCATCATAGGGGATCATTCGATACCGAGTATGATTATCTTCTATTCTTATTGCCATTGATTGTGTGTTTTCCAAATGGCTATAGTTATTCCAAAACCTTGAATTTTCAATGTTTTTGTACTCCAGGATCCGGCCTTTTGTATTTATCCCTTGTCCTTATTATATTTTCATTTTTGACTGAATTTCATGGACATTCCATTGCTGAGCTTCAAATAGGTTCGCAACTTGTTTTATTCAGTAAAAATAGACTCCAACCCAATTACAAAGTTCACCTAATAAACGCACTTGAGATTCGAAAAAAATAATTATTTGTCTCTGATAGGCCTATTATTCCACTTTATATGCGGATGAAAGTCTACTATTATGGAGTGGAAACGATATCAATGAATCAAAAATAAAATATTATTGAGTTTAAAATGTTTAATTTAAGAAAATCAATCTGTGGAAAAACCAGGGCACACTTGACAATGAAAGGTTCATGCAATAATCTTATTTACTTTTAAAGTCACTCTCATAATTGCAATTATTGTAAATGTTGATACGTTAATAAATAAATAAATAACGAAGTTTTTTTTTATATTAATTCAAACCTCTCAGTAGATTCTCAAATAAAACACGCTTCTCTGTACAAAACACGACTTTATTCGTCATCAGAATCTTCTTCTTCAGCCTCTTCTAACCAATCAGTAAAAGGCTTGACTTGCTTGTAAAATTTTGTATCAGTTTTGATGGTTCCAAACCAATCCAAAATTGCTTCTTCACTCAAATAATCTTTTTCGTAAAGATATTTCAATGTAAAAACGGCCCATTTGTCTTTAAAGTCTCCAGAAATTGCAACTTCCTATATAAAAAACAATGTCAACATCTTTTCTAGATATTTATATTATATTTACCTCAACAGCTTGAAGACAATCAGTCATAGCGCTAAGATTTTTAATATAATTATTAAAAAGTGGGGCAAAATAAGAAAGCATTTGAGCAAAACTGGAAAAATATTGTGGCCCCTCTGGTAAATCACCAGACATTATTAAAATGGCTTTAATAACATTGAAATTCACCTAAAAATTCATTTATAAAAACTAAACCCAAAAACGCCCAATTCCACTCACTTCTTTAACTGTAACATTATAAGCATATCTAGAAGAATTGATTTCTAAAATAAGATTATCACATAGGAGTTTATCTTCAAAACCTCTAGTTAAACTATCAATGACCTCAGTAAAGAACACTAAAATAACAGAATAAATATTTATGTTTCATAATATACTGACTATACATTTTGTATCATCTGGTGGTGGTGAATGAATATGAGACAATGCGTCTTCACTTTCACTAAACTCATCTTCACTTTCATATTCAGACTCGTAAGTTGCCTCATGAATATGAAGCCTTGACATTCTTCTAGCTAGTGATTTGTCCAAGTCAATATCTTCTTCATCTTCTTCTAGCCTTAAACGGTAAGCTGAAGGGCCAATTTTGTCTTCTGAATTGTCTGATTTGGTTTGCTGGACTAAACTGTCTTCAACCAAACAGTTTTCTTCAATAACAACCCCTTTTCCTAATATCGAGCCTGCAGTAACTTTAGCCCCATTTTTAACAATGCAGTTAGGTCCTATGACGCTTAAAGATACAACTGCATTATCTTCAATATGTGTATTATCAAAAATAAAGGCATCTTGAATTTTTACATTATTTCCAATAACTACATTGCAACCTAAAATGCTCCTGCAAATATTTGCTGTTAAGGCTACTTTTGTTGATGTGCCAATAGCTGAATCTTCATAGATTGATCTGTTTCTACAAACATGATTTTAGAAGATTTATTTGAAAAAAAAAATCAAATACTTTTTTGTTGGGGGTACTAGAGGATGCACCCATTTATTTTTCAATTCCATACTAATAGACTGATAAGTCCTCCAGTTATGTATTGCACCTCCATAATTGCTGCCCCTCAAAATGTTACCGTAAACAGTGCTGCCCATAATTTCTTCATTCATCAATAGGCCTCTAACAAAGTCATCTTTGGTTTGGAAATCAAAATTGTCAGAAAACAATGGGAGGACTGAGGAAGAACAAATGGCAATGTGCGTATCTTTGAGGTTGTGATAAATGGAAACTGAATTGTTTTCCAGGAAAATTTCCAAAGGGAAATCGACTTTTTTGTCGCTGGTTTTTTTGGTTTTTTTATGGAACAGCAAACGGTTTTTACTATTCATGATCACTAGGGTTTCATCTTGAGGGCATAAACTTCTATGGTTTAGGCCGCATTCTTGAAATATTACTGTCATTGCTGCTCCTTTGTCCATTTGGCATATATCACTAAGATTTAGGATTATTTTATGTAATGCAATATTGTTATTGAAAGTAGAACTTGTGCAGGATCTGACCATAGTTTAGTATATAACAAGAAAAATACAAGTAAATTCAGTTACTGCACAAATTCTCTGATTAATTTCAAATATTTCACCTGTGTTTTTTAAGAAGAGAAGATAAGGAAATGTTTGAGATCACCCCAGGTTCTAGCAGTACAAAATCGCCTCTTAAAAGCCCTTTAGCATCCAAATCCCTCAAGCAGTCTCCAAAAGAGCGACAACTTTCTGAGACTATAATGTGAACTTTCATTGTTAAAGTCCATCCTACTGTTTCTTCAACAGATTTCCTTGTAAAAATATAATGATAATTAGATGTTATTACGGCTGATTCACATACTTAATATGGTCTTTAATCTCTGCTACATGATTGCAGCAAAATAAGAACGTTTCCTCGACTCCTCCCAGAGACAAAAATTCCAAAGTATAGTCTATCAAAGGTTTGTTAACGACTGGGAATAAGCACTATTTGAAAATATAGATTAATATATATATATATATATATATATATATATATATAGTAAAAATTTTAAAGTTTATGAAAATAAACCAACTTACCAGAGGAATATCATTTGAGATTGGCAAAAATTCATCTTCAAATGTAGGGGCAACAAGTATTGCCTGTACTGCGTTCTCTTTTGCAAGTAGATCATTTTTTTTTGACATTTTGTATTGGAAACTTGTTTGGCAGCTTAAAAATAAGTAATGAACACTGAGAACTTTCTAAATAAATGTAAAATTATCAAAAATATGTGAAAAAATACAAAAAATACAAATATTATAAAAATTTGTTAGGTTATGTTGACTTTATTGACATTGAAGATTTGCAGGTGCGAATAGGGTTTTTCGGATTCATGCAATCAGTGTTCTAGAACTATAATAAAAACAACGAACCACTCAGAAAATGAAAAAAATTGGGTGTTCGGATTCAATTTTTAACTGTTCTCAATTGATTCTAGAACTATCGAATAACGAGTGACGATTCCGGAACTAATTTGGAACTCTCGATCGATTCTGAACTAGTTCTATCGGTTTTTAGAGATTTGTAAATTGTAAGTTCGAGCCAGTTGTTGAAAATACAGTTTCTCGAGTTCTTGCAATTTCTGTTCTCTGGGACTGATTCGAAACTATTCGCATGCTTGGTGCAAATTCTATTGTTGCGGATCAATAAATTTCAAATGTTGTTCAATTAGAATTAGTTCCGGCGCGAACGCTTTCCAAACCACTCTATATATGCGCGAAACCACTCTATATACGAATAATTCCGGATTCTACGCACAAATTTGGGGCTGCCGCAGAATCGTGACGGTTCATTGTTCGGTTTCCTGCTGTGTTGGAACCAATGAACTATAGTCAAAAACTGGAATGCGCACACGATAGTTTTATTCCTTTCACACCTAGGAGGAGCTCCGGAACAGCTCCGGGGCTTCACGCGCTTATTCCTTTCGAAAAGTATTTGTTGCACCACGCATATGTTCCCTGCAAATCGGGGGCGACTAAGCACCGAAGCGAGTAGCTCAAGTGTTTCAAGCTCTTGAAAGGAATACAACTATTGCCATATCTGCCAAAAAAATGTAGCCATGAAAGATAGATGCCACAAAGGGGAATGTTGTTTTTTTCTGTTACTCGCTGACATATGACGTTTTGGAAAGTTTTGTTCACAGGTTTCATCAATTGAAATACGTGTTGGAAGCAATTTCCGCCATTTAACATAATGAGTGCGACAAAAACAGGTATCCCCTCCGCAGCAGCGGCACTAGCAGGCTTCACGTTCGTCAATATGTGTTCGCATTCCAGTTTTTGGTTATAGTTCATTGGTTGGAACAAAGCTATTGGATGCTCGGGCTGAATATAGAACAGTTCTCAGACACTTCAAGAACCATCCAATTATGATTAAGGACTCAGGAACTGATTCGGAACTTTCAATTTGTAACTAAATACCACTTCTTGTTCCATTAGAGTCGGTTCTGGATCGATTCTGAACTAGCGTTATCAGTTCTAGGGATTTAGCAAGAACAGTGGCAAGGTTCAACATGAGTTCGAGACAGTTGCAAATAGGCTTTTTCGAATTCGTGCAAATACTGTTCTAAAACTGTCTGGAGTATGTGCTCGTAAAAACAACGAACCATTCAAAAATATAAGTTAGATGTCTGGGTTCAATAGACCTATCTCGTATGATTAGAAAAAGAGAGCTTAATTGTAATAAATACAAGTTAGAAAGCAATAAAAGATGACATGCGCGCGCAACTCGTTGGCTGCAGTGTAGCCAGATTGTATTGTTGCAGAATAAATGTAGACAATACAAATCGAATATTATAACATAAAAGAAGTGATATAGTGTCAAGTGTTTTACAATGCCTTATATCAGACAAAAGAAGAGTTTTAAAGTGGATGAATATCGTTTGCACTTTTATTTTGATAAATGTTTCCTCCGGCAACATCGCTCAATGAAATTGTAGGGATAACAAACTATCGATAGGAATATCGATACTATCGATATTTTTTTCATTTTCGATAGTATCGATAGACCTGTACCACTATCGATAGTTCCAAATGGCCGGTTTCTCAATAGCGAGTCACCTCCGAGTTGGTTTTAACTTCAGGGTAAGCGAGCCCAATTGCAATCATTGTATTCCTTTCACACCTAGGAGGAACTCTGGAATAGCTCCGTAGCGTTATGCGCTTATTCCTTTCGAAAAATGTTGCACCACGTATTTGTTCCTTTCAAATCGGGGTCGACTAACACCGGAGCGAGTAGCTCGAGTGTTCCAAACTCTTGAGGGCCGGTTTCTCAATCAATAGCGAGTGAATATAAAGAAATCTCTAGCTAGTTTGAGAAATCTGTAATTATTTTTTGGGGGTAGACATGCTGTGAATGTGAAATTACTTTGGTCAGGGCAAACTATCGATAGTACAATCGATAGTTACTATCGATATTTAAGCCATTCTATCGATATCACTATCGATAGTTTTTTTTTCGATAGTTTGTCAACCCTATGAAATTGCAAAGGAATATGTCAAGTATAATCTTAAACGAAACTGCGGTGAGTTCAAGTAATATGTAAAGAATTAGTTTGCTCTTTGTCAAATTACACGTTACAAAGAAAGAAGGAACAATTCATTCTGAACTGGCCCCTGAATAAGAATATGATGCAAGCCTGTCACAAACTTGCTTCTCATTGGACGCTCACCTGCAGCCTACAAGCGACGCGCGCAGTCCAGGTAATAGGAGATAGGTCTATTTAGAACTATCGAATTACGAGTATGGGCGAATCCCCACGGGCGTAATTCGCGCAATCGGCATGAACGTCAATTCCACGCCAATTTTGGCGTAACATCCCGCATCATGGGCAGTATTGTACATCAAAACCAAATATCTAGTAAAATACAAACAATTTTCTAAGGATTCAGGAAGTAATAAATCAAAAATATTTGCATTCTCGGTTCAAATTCTAGCTGGGTTCGGCTATTCAGCGCGGAGTTGGAGTGGAGTGAACAGAGCTAATGCAGTCACCCCTAATACGGTAAAAAGCAATACCCGAACCTCAACCCGAACGGTTGAAGTGCGAATGGAGTCACTCGGAGTGAGCAAGCCGAACCCACCTTCAATTGGCGTGTACGGATTGATTCTGAACTAACTCTATCGGTTCGAAGCAAGAACAGTGGCAAGAACCATAAATTCGAGCCCGTTGACAAATCAGGTTCTTTCAATTACAGTTCTAAAACTGTTGGAATACGCGCTGGTAAAAACAACGTACCATTCCGGACCCATTCAGAAAATATATATTTCGGGGCCATTCCACTCAAGGCTCCTGAAGTTATAATTGTCCGTCGTTTTTAATCTGACACTTTCCCTATGAGGAGCAAGGGGGTGAAGCATATTAGTTGTATTCCTTTCAAGAGTTTGAAACACTTGAGCCACTCGCTCCGGGGTTTAGTAGCCCCCGATTTGCAGGGAACAGATGCGTGGTGCAACAAACACTTTTCTAAAGGAATAAGCGCGTGAAGCCCCGGAGCTGTTCCGGAGCTCCTCCTAAATGTGAAAGGAATACAACTATGGCAAAAACAGGTGTGACGCCAGGTGACCATTAGTTTTATTCCTTTCATACCTATGAGGAGCTCCGGAACAGCACCGGGGTATCACGCGCTTATTTCTTTCGAAAAGTGTTTGTTGCACCTGAGTACTCAAGCCCCAACTAAACCATTTAAATGCACGATAGCCAGCGCATCTGTTCCTTTCAAATCGAGGGGGGTGGGGGGGTAACACCGGAGCGAGTAGCTCTATACCATTTCCAAATCCAAGCGGCAGTAAATGACAAACTGGTCATTTTGATTATTTACAACCTATCTAGATTATTAGTCATTTACTGCCGCTTGAATTTGGAAATGGTGTAGTGCTTTAAACTCTTGAAAGGAATACAGCTATTGACGCTCTAATTTAGGGTGCTACCAGTTCACATTCCTTTGAAGTATCAGATTAAAATTGACGGGCAGGTTCTCTCGTAATGGGTAACTTGGGCTTTGCACTTCACGGAGCGGAACGGTATGAGCATAGATATCGTGATGTCATATGCAGAGTACGCCCTGAACAAGGTTATAAGCCGAACGTAGATGGAACAAGGAACGAGCTCAGAGCTGTTTTCGGGTGCCACCCTTTGAGCACTCCCGAATTACTCCGGCTAAAGTTTAACCCAGTTCGGTTTCAAGCGTTCGAGTGCAAAACACATGAAGTAGTTATGACAGGTGTGAAGTGTTCTAGGAGCTTCGCACTTTGCATCCGGAAGCGGCCCAGGGTGCGTGCTCGATTGTAACCCGAATGCAAAAGAGAACACTCTGAATACTAAAACAAACAGCATTTTATCGTTTCGAGCGCGTTCAGAGTTCACAGAATGTAAAGCCGAAATCAGCTCCGATGATGCATCTGGGGTGCCATGTAGATTTGCATTATTCTGAGCACCTCAGATGACGTCATAAAGTTCTGGCAACCTACCTCTCTTTCAACAACCTTGCGTTTCACCATGCGCAAATTTGCAGGCAATTTGGAAATGCATTCTCCTCTCTTCTGTAAATACGGAAAATCAGAGTTGCAGAGCTTATGTAAATCCGGGCTAAAACCTTTGTCAGCTCTGAAAGTTCCACCTCGTGTAATAGAACTTGAATTTATATGCGAATTTTTTTACTCTGTTTACTCCGAAAACAATGCCCAAGTCACAGTCAATAGAGTGTGAAATACAAAGGTTTAAACATTTATAGAAAGAATAGCTCAAACAAGGTGTTTATTTCAGAACAAAGTCTAGAAATTGTATTATATGGAGCAGTCACATACTGAAAAACAATAAATTCACCTCCAAATAAATAAAACATGCAGACTGCACACCCAAAATAAAGACTTCTGCTCATAACAGCCACACTTGAGTTGAAACCTAATGAAAAATCATGTTTTTGTAAAATCAACGCACTCGGTCAAGTGATCTAAAATATGTTCAAGTTGTTCCCTACTCAAATCATTATTTTCAACATTATGGATAATCTGCATAAGACCAAGATTAATTTCATGTCTTAATTCTTTTATGCGGTCTTTATCTTCCATAGAAGTTTCTGTATCTTCCATAGGACTAGGAGTCTCTGTATCTAGTGTATCTTCCATAGGAGTCTCTGTATCTAGTGTATCTTCTATAGGAGTCTCTGTATCTAGTGTTTCTTCTATAGGAGACTCTGTATCTAGTTTATCTTCCAAAGAAGTCTCAGAATCATGTGTAGTTTGTACTTGAGTCTTACTAAGCAAATACATAGCTTGTTTGCTTGTTTCATCAACATCATCATTTTTCAGACTTTTTAATTCGTCTAATGTTATTGGAATGGATTTATTTTCAGACTGCGGATCTTGATTTTCAGTTGTATTTATCCTAAAAATCAATCAATCAATTAAGTTATATGGAAATTGATTCAACACTCACATGTTACTTGGTTTGGATGCATTTTCTTTCTCTGAGATTTCTACAGGTTCATGTGAATAATGGGATCTATAATAGGTAACCAAACATTCATCAGTTGCTGTATATTTTTTGAGTATTATTTGGCTTGCACATGCACTTTTTATTTTTGTTTTATCATGTGGATGTGGTTTTTTCTTTGAAAAACCTTGGCATTCGAAATAGTGTTTCTCAATCCCTTTAGTAGCTGCTTTCCTAATAGTTGTTAGTAGGTAGCGAACATTATTAGTTTTTTGTTCTTGAATCAACCACATATCAAAAGCTAAAAAAATCTCACATATAAAAAACATCAGATTATTGTCTTGGGTACCTACCGTCATAATTTTCAAAGGTCCATTCTTCCATCATATTTTCGAAATTATGAACGGTCTTCAGGTGCTGCCTCAAAACCTCACTGTATTTGTAGAAAAATTTACACTTAACACAAACGAATTCAGTGTCGTTCATGCCGTGAAACATTTTTAAATGTCTGTTCAAATTATATTGAGTTGAGTAACATTTCCCACATCGAAAACACGTTATAGGCATTTTTGGCATTTTTGTATACGATTTGTGAACAAATAGAAAATAAACAAAAATATGAAATTTTGCTTGTTTTGGAACAGTTCAAAAGACGTCAATGAAATCGTGTCAACGTCAGCGTTATTTACCTTGCGTTCGGTATTTTGCTCGAAGAGCAGAGCGTGCCAAGCGGAGCCGAAATCAAGGGCGTGTTTGGGTTGACGCTCGGCGGAGCGAGCAGAGCGATTACGGAGTAACGTGACGTCACAGGGAGTACAGAGGTGCTTTCCAGTGACCCATTTGAGTTACTCCTGAGCAGCTCAGGAGTGCTCCACAATTGCTTTGCGCGTTCCAGTGCTTAGAGTGTCGTACACTTGAGCTACTCATTTCTGTTATCCCCTGCTCCCTCGTGCACCAACCCTTTTGCCTGTGTTTCATGCTCCTGAAATCCGAAATGGTGGGGTTAAGACGAGAGCGTTCCAGTGCTGCTTATGTTGAACAGTTCAAGAGCGTCACACTTTAGGAGCATGATACTCTAACAATTTAGGCACTGGAAAGCGGCTCGTGTCAAGCCAAATAAACTCGTGCAAAAGTGCTGGATTGAGCGATCAGCTGATTATTGTTTATTTTTTTTAGGATATATTTTTTGGAATCTGAAACCTGAAACCGCTTTCCGCATTTGCACCACAGCTTTCTCGTTTGTTTTTTGCAAATATGGCCGTCTTGCAGATGTGCTCTATTTGCAGGAACGAGCAAATTACAGAAAAAAAACCTGCAAGTCCGTCATATTTGTCAAAAAAGTGTTTGGGCGCTACTGATTTACCAGTTTGAAATGTCAAAGTTTTCAAAGTGACTGCAAGAACTTACGGGACCGTTTCGCTATGCGCAAATTTGCAGGCGACTTGCAAATGCATTCTGGTTCTGTAATACAAAAAGTCAGACTTGCAGGCCCTACATTTGTATCTTGCTGTTGCAGAGCTTCTGTAATTCAGCACTAAGTGCTGATAGTCGATAATTTTTAAACAGCCCCATTTTCTTTTGTGTTCTCTAACTCGTCGTGCTACATAAACCAGTGTTGCCACAGGTGGCCCCATATGGCGTTTTTTTTTGGGCGTTGCACCCGAAAAAATTTTCTACCTCCGGCGGCGCCTGCGGGCTTTCTCTCCTCTTTTTGATTTGAAAACGGTTTGCCCGAAATTCTTAAATCTGGCCCCTTCTACCTTCTAAAAATATAGTCTGGCACGAAACTATCAGAGCAGTGTTGCCAATAAGCGTGTAATTACACGATTTGCGTGTATTTTGATTGGCTTGCGTGTATTTTTCGAACATAAGCAAAAAGCGTGTATTTTGCGTGTAACTTGAAAAATTTGACTTTCTCTTTTTTTGTTCTGTTTCACGGCTTTCCAATCTAAAGCCAGGGCCCCAATGTGACATGAATAGGACGTTTTCTCGTCCCTTGCATTCCATTCCATCATCTTTTGTCTGTCAAAGGGTCTGTCATGTGACTACCCTTATGCCCAAGGATAATATAGAGAGATTTTGAGCCACATAAATTTTGAAATACGTTACACGTTAACCGATAAACTGAGCAAGCGCAGTCTTTGAAAAATAGCGGATGACATTTAGCCTTTTTTTAGTTTTTGAAGCCAAAACTTGTGAAGGACGTTATACACTAAACGTTAATGAAAATTGTGGTTAGGAATTTGAATTTGTGTAACTAGCGTCAAATTTTATGTTGTCTGTTGTTTATGTTAGGATGGTTGGGTATTTATTTGTGTTTTGTTTTATGTAATTATGTACTGCACTTCATGAATAACATTGAAAATATAATAAAACGTCGAAATGCTGAAACGTTATTGGTTAATAACGTTCCGTTTATTTCCACATAATTAGCGTAGTACGTTACCGCTTATTAAGCGGGCCGGTTATTTTTTCACTATTGCGCATGAGCAAAATAACCGATAACGTATAACGTTGATCAAATAAATAGGTGGCTCAAAATCTCTCTAATATACATTGCTTATCGGCCTCGTTTTTGGTAATCGCGGTTATATGGTATAGCACCATTGTCGACGTCATTAACTAAGTCGTCAGCTGTTTGCTACCATTATGGCTAAGGACAAACACACTTGCTTATCGAACTCGATTATTGGAATCAAGTTCATATGGTGTTGCACCGTTGCCGACATCAGCGGCAACAGCAACGTTAGCAGTTTGCGTCAGCGGTCGTAGTTAAGAATAAACATTAATTATGAAAAATATTATTTAACTGTAGTGCAAACACTCTACGTCAAGACGGGAAGCGACACGCTACGTCATCACTGGTGCTTTGGTATGGCGGAGGCGCTTGAGATTTAAACTACACAGGCCTTATGACGATTAGGCTAGACTATAGTGTCAGGAGCATTTACCCTCAGATTTGACTGGATTTAACCCATTTCCCAAAATCATAAATCACATAAAAAAATATGATACTTGCTTCTTGGTGTTACGAAATAGGTACCAGAATCGTGTAATTGTGAGACTGAAAGCGTGTAAAAAGTGTAATTTGACCAGCATATCGTGTAATTTCACAAATTCAGATTGGCAACACTGTATCAGAGGCTGTGGCAACACTGACATAAACAATAAAACGGACCTAAACACTCAGGTTGCCAAGTTCCCTTTGAAAAATATTTTTACTAATACCAGTGATGAGGAGTACCGAGAAAATTTAATAAGTAAACAATTATGCAGAATTTACTAGTTATTTGATTGTCAACATTTAAACAAAATAGGTAAAACTATCCAGCTAACAAATATATGTTAAAATTCAGGATTGTTTATTTATCATGGAAAATAGGTTAGGTTATACAGACAGATTTAAAACATCTGATCTGCGCATGCGCGCTCCAGCTGCCCACTCCACAAACTCGGGGTTTATCGAGCTCGCTCTGAGCGCTCAAAATACGTCAAACCAAACACAATCAAGCGTTGTCGGAGCTTCAAAAATAACGGAAAAGAGACAAAAGTGCAAGCTCCGAGTGCACCGAGCGTGAACCCAAACGCGCCCCAAGTGACCAGCGAGCGATCAGAGCAGTTGAACGCTGTATCAGAGTGCCCGAAATTTTAATAAACGAACGCGAATGAGCCTGCACCGAATACACTTTTTGATTAAACGAACGGTAAATCAAGCTCGGAGAACTCAGATCAAAATACCGAACACACGGTTAATTTTTTAAAATAGCGAATTCCATTGGCTTAGCTATAGCGGCACTGGTGCATTTATCAACCATTGGTCATTTTAGTGCAGGTTTTTGAATATCATCGGTAACTAGTGCAACAATTTTTTTGCCCTGAGTTCAATCAGTTCTGCACCTGTTCCTGGAATAAGCGCAATTCAGAAATTTTCTTGTGGTACTTTTTTTTTATTTTCATCACCTAAAGTGCAACCATCAATAGAACTAGTTTGGGTACTTTCAAACGCTCATTAGATCCAGAGTACTTTAGAGCAAACGCGGAACACACCTATATTACGAAATTCGGCATTTTGGCAACGCTGCAAATTATGTCAGATTATTGTTAATAGTAGGCACAGTGGGAGTGGGAGGAGAAATAATAGTTGATATTTTTTGATATTTGTTTAAATTTTCGAATTGTGAACTTGATCTTTAAGCGGCAATTTCGTAGTTTGTGCATTAAATTTTTTTTTAAATTTATTAGATTGGAACTGCTTTGAAAAATGACTACAAGTGCCAATAAAGACAAGAATATTGGGTTCCCTTTAAATATTAAAAGCACTATTCCGAAACACAGGTAATTTATTACTTATTTTATTGAATTAAATAATTTATTTCGGGCGATTTTTTCAATAGAGCGGGTGTAAAACGCTTTAGTGCAACAAAAATTAACAATTTTTCTATAAAAATTAGTTGATATATCCTTTATACAGTTGGTTTTGTATCAATTTAAGTGCGGATATTGACATTTTTTGTCGTAGTAAGCGAATATTCACATTCACAATTACTTACACATAACCAGTAGATATCAAACCAGTAGATATTATAACCAGTAGATATTGAACGAACTGTAACTCAAACTAACCAAAAGTATGCAAACTAACCCAAACTAACCCGGCCACGTAATGCGTGCGAGTCCTTGTATGTTGATATTGAATTTAAAGGTAATTTTTGGGCTCTCGGGAACGGGCTATAGGGCGTTTTTTCTGATCAAGTTCATTTTTGGTACACATATATAGGACGTCAGAAGAAATTTTTCCAAAAAAAATTTGACCTCGACTGTAACCTTGATCCTGACCTTGACCATCAAATTCACGTAAATGGCAGTTTAACGTGCTGAAAACTTGTATAGTGTTGAAAGGCATCTCAAGTAACCTATATACCGAGTTTTAGCCTTCAAGGTCATACACATCCAGAGATACGACAACTCCGCATTCTCAGTTTGGGCTCTCGGGAACAGGGTAGAAGGCGTAGTCCGATTGAGTTCATTTTTGGTATACATATTTAGGCCGTAAAAGGTAACAGTTCAGTAAAGGTCCTTCAAAAAAAATATCATGCTTCTTCATTATAGATAGTTTAGTTTGATCCCAAAATATTGTTTTATGATCGAAAATGTTGGCACAAATAACTATAAATTGGATTTTATAAATATTGAATGAATCCTCTTCTCGACCTTTGACACAGATCAATATATAATATCTATTCTTATCAGCTTAATATCACAATCGCTCTGTTTAGCAGCAAAATTCAATAAACGTAAAAAGCATCATGTGGTAAATATTCAAATGAAGAGAAGTGCTAGGTGTTCAAACCATTTTTTGAGTAATGATAAAGCGTATAATATCTACTGAACTTTTGAAATTGGTACACTTTAACCGAAAATAACTGTGCTATATCGAAACTGATCAAAAATATGCAAACTAACCCGAACTTACCCGTCTTTGTACTGCGTGCTAGTCCCCGTAAACCTATCTAATCGAGAATTACAAAATAATGCAAAACAACCCAAATTAACCCATTCTTGAAATGCCTGCTAGTATCCTTGAACTTTTTTATTTTATCTAGCTTGTCGCGCTTGGTTGTCGTTGTTAATCAGTACACTGTATCCAGTTTTAGATAAGTAATTAATATTCAATATCATGATGTTTCCTATTAAAAGTGTCCAAATTGGCCCACCCTGTATATAATTTCAACCCGATAAATAGATATTTACGTGAATTTCACTGGTCAAGGTCACGGTCAAGTTCACTGCCAACGGCCAAGGTCAATTTTTTTTTTGGGGAAATTTCTTTCAGCGGCCTTTATATGTATACCAAAAATGAACTCGATTGGACTACGCCTTCTAGCCCAATTCTCGAGAGCCCAAACTGAGAATGCGGGGTTGCCGTATGACCTTGAAGGCTAAAACTCAGTGTGTGGGTTATTTATGATGCTCTTCGGCGCTATACATAATTTCACGACGATAAATTGATATTTATGTGAATTTCACTGGTCAAGGTCACGGTCAAGGTCGCGGCTAAGGTCAATTTTTTCTTGGAAAAATTTCTTTCAGCAGCCTTTATATGTATACCAAAAATGAACTCAATCGGAGTATGCGTTCTACCCTGTTCCCGAGAGCCCTAATCATACCAATTTAAAAAACAAAGCCCGCTTCGCGCGCTGTGTTCTCAATCAGTACACTTATAACCAGTAGATACGAACTGTAACCAAAACTAACCAGAACTATGCAAAATAACCCAAACTAACACACCTTTAAATTGAACCACTTTAATTTATAGATTTTTCTTAAAAACTAATATAATCCGCATATTTTTATATTGAAATCGGTCCAAAAAGGCTAACTACAACATTAGGGATGCATCTTATAAGAAACTACGTGTTGCACTAAAGCGTTTTACCACCCCAATTCCCTTTATTATTATTATATTTCATATTAGTATTTTTAAAAAGTTGTACTTCACGTTTTGTATACTTCACTGCGCGTATATTTTTATTTCATTTATACAGGGTTGTGGGAATACCCGATTCAATGGTGGTATTTGCGATGTTGCCAAGTTTATACCCTAATTTTTTTAGGAAAATCCCCCTTTATTTTTATTGTAATTAATTCAGCGTCTCCAGATAACTAAACCCTTAAATGCCACCGAAACTCCATTTGACTTGGTTTTTGTAATATAAAACAGGCAGGGAATCCAAACCATGTGACTTTGCCAACCAGCCGACATTTCGAAAATTTTCAAGGTTAGAATACGGGTTTTTACATGTCAACGATGTCAGATTTCCTTATGTCAGCAAGGGCTGAGTTCAGAAAATAGCTCCAAGAGTACATTTTACATGTAAAAATGTCTCTTCAAATCTTGATTATCAGTAAAACTTGCTTAAAATGGTCAGTGCAAACGGCCATAACAGTTTTCAAGTAGGCACTAGCTGACAGCTGACGTAACATACATAACCTCACTTTCGTTGGGGGGACAAACAAAGCGTCTGAAGGATCATTTATCAGCCTATCCAAAACACGTGATTGTGACAAGGAAACAAAGGGTTTCTGTGCCTCTTGGCGGACATTTTCATTTAAGTTTGACAGCACCTTGAATAGTCAGCCTATCCAAACAAAACATGTGACTTTTAGACCGTGAGATAGGGCCTGTTTAGTGGAGTCATTTTTTTTTGTCTGGCATTTTGAAGGATGAATGTGGCTAGTTAGCTGATGAGAATATAGGTGGTTTTAGTGCTTGCCACCTGTTCGAAATGTCAACAGAATGTTTCGCCGGAAAACTCGACTTCGAACTGGGATTACTGTCTGGCGATTTTTCAGCGATATTTACACAACAAAACCTTTCATTCTCTCGATTGCCAGACAAAAAGTAAACGCGGAAGGTTCTTGTCTCTTCTCTTGGAAGTTGACACTCATCCCCACTTTTTCAGCTATTGAAAAGCATCTAGTATTTTTTATGGGTGAATTATTTATCGATGTCAATCTTTTATTTAGAAGCCAAAAAATTTGCGATCATTAAAAAAAAATTCCTCATGTAAATCAATTTTTTTCCTCTGCAAATTTTCGAACGGGAGGCAGGCATTAAAACCACCCATATTCTCATCAGGTTAGTAGCCACATTCAGCCCTCAAAATGCCAGACAAAAAAAAATGACTCCACTAAACTGGCCCTATCTCACAGTCTATTTGACAAGCCATCAAAGGGTTTGTGTGCCTCTTGGCGGACATTTTAATTTAAGTTTGACAACATCTTGGATAGTCAAATACCAACCAGGCGCCATTTTTAACAGAGCCGCATTCTTTCGGACCGGATCAGTTGATCAAAACGCGTTATGTTCCAGTTCACGTTCTTTCGCATTTTGATGTTTGACAGTTAGCGAATCATGATCCGAGAAATTCTGAACAAATTAGAACATTTTTTTTTTTGTGATTAGTTTGTTCCGATCACGAAAATCTGGACAGCGTTCTTTCGGACCTTAAAATTGAAACATGTTCGAGTTGAACAAATGGATCAGGATCTCGAAATCATGGAATATGAGACCGTTTGTTTCCATACATTTCAACAATAAAGCTGTCTCGATTTTACCCTTGTAAAGGAAACACAACCATTGAAAAATTATCCAAGTTGTTTGGTTCATGTTAATTTAGGAATAACCAAATAATTTTTTATTTAGGATAGCATTTTCCTTTCGTGATATACCTATTTTTAACACGTTGATGTACAGAACGTCTATAGACGTCTAATTTTCATCGATAGTATGTGACATAACGTCTATAGAGGACATTTTAAAAATATCAAGTTGTGACACAACAAGGGTTTGTGTGCCTCCTGGCGGACATTTTAATTTAAGTTTGACAGCACCTTAGACACAGCACCTTGAATAGTTAGCCTATCCAAAACATGTGACTTTGACAAGCAAACAAAGGGTTTGCGTGCCTCTTGTCGGACATTTTAATTTGAGTTTGACAGCATCTTGGATAGTCAGGAACAAATTTATACTGTCACCACACGCACAGAGAAATATAGGTTACTGTCACCGCATTTTGAAATGTTTGTTTTTAGCTTTTTCCACCATTTTTTCTATGTCAGTCATATATGACTTATGTGGCCCCCCAGGGCTGGAACTCTAAGTGATAGAGATCGTTATCCCTATCGCTATGGCACTTGCTGTCTTCTTCTCTCTTGTCAAAAGCAATAGAGAGGAGACGTCAATAGAGATAGAGAAAATATCTCTATTCGTTACAGAGTCCCAGCCCAGGTTATTTACATGGAGGAGGCCACGTCAGTCAAATATGCCCGACGATTTTTTTCTATGGTTTCTATATACGTATCTATCTAAATAGATTTGGGTATGGATGTTTTAGTTTACTTTTTTAGAATTTTGTAATTTTTTTGCAAATTTGCTCAAACCAAGTACAACCGATATGTTCCGCACAGGCCACTCTTTAAAATCCCATAAGGAAATATACGTATCGTCGGGCAGCTACATTGATGCAGTTAATGTTAATGATTGACACGGCCTGGTACCCTATAAAGTGTGCGTCAAGGTCAAGCATATACAGGGTGACAATTTGAAAAATAGCAATCGGGAATATCTCTTAGATAAAAAATACTTTCAGGAAGATCTCACATAGGTATCGGGAGATTGGAGGGGGAACCAAAATAAGGCACTTTTTAATTCACCCCGCCTCACCTGTTTGGGTAAAGCTACCCTAACTTATTTTTTTCAAATACGAACCTTGCTTTCCTTTTACTACAGTCTTAAGCCGGAGTCTCATGCATCCGATTTCCGACGAAATATG